TTCTGCCCGCCTCTCTTGCCCGCCCGCCCGGTTCCAGCTTCTCACTATCCAAGAATACCCTTCCAGCTGACGTGGGGCGTGTTATCAACTATTGCTCCTTTGTGCAAAGTGCTACAATCGCGCGGTTACCAGAGGGGTGGGGTTGCAAAGAGGCCGATTAGCCCAGGCGGAAAAATGTGTGTGCTGAAAAATGCCCCCTTGGCTTATACGCGAGTCACCATTTTTTCCCAATTCTTTGTGGCAAAATTAGGTGCCTCAGCTTATATTCGGGTCGACTTATACTCGAGTATATATGGTATATTAGTAGCCACACTACATTAAAAATATTCAAATATCCTAAAGGATATGCTATTCTTATTGTTTGGGTTGAAAATCTGTATTTGGATGTTCATGAGCTAGAGTTCTATAGACTGAATTTTCATTGCTCCCTTAAGCTCTTACGAAACATAGAATAAGATTCTGGAATATCTGCAAAACTTTAATGGCATTCCAGTCCAAATCTCCAGGTATTTTACCCAGCTTTCATGGTGCAGAACCATTTCCAAGATCTGCCAGCCTCAAGTTAAAAGGATACAATTCTGTCTTACAAATACAGTACATAACTGAGGATAAGAAACTTCTAGTCTAAGGATCGAATACATGCTTTATAATATCATATGCTTCCTGTGGATTTATTTGGCGCTTCTTTCCTCATTCCTGTTCTCTAAAGAGCTGTTGAATAGGAGTTATGATTGATAATTGGTTTAAATGTTTTCTGTCAGGAACACCCTCTACCTTGCTGTTGTTTTCTGAAGAACGTACCACTGGAAATAATTGCTTTGGCTGAAATATTTCCTAATAGATATCTATGCCTGTTATCCATCCTCAAAACAGTACTTAATTCTCAGTGAGAAAATCTGGCACTGATTTGTTTTAGACATAATTCATGTATAGTATTTATAACATAATTTAGAACCTGCAATAAAATACGATTTTTTTCTAGAACTTCTCTTATAATTGTTGTAATAATGGTGCTAATTCTTCGTCAAAGCTGTATTTGCACCTGTATTTTGTTATCGATTTTGTAATTTTTTTTAAAACAAGTATGAATGTGTTTATTTTCATGAACATATGCGGTCATGGAATTAAGACACAGATATGTTAATACAATAAGTTAGCTCATTTCTTAAATTTTATAGATGTAAGAGTTGAGATTCACTTCACTCTTAAAAATAATATTACATTGCTTTTGATTACAGATAAGACCTTATGTAGCGTGCTTGGTTCAGTATTTACCTCTACTTTGGAAACAAAGTGAAAAACACAATATGCTGAGATGTGCTATTCTTACTACCCTAATTCATCTTATCCAGGTAAATTCTTCTCTTTTTTTCTCCCATGAATTTTTAATTCACATAATATTGTATCCTACTAAAATTTAATACCATATTAAATATCACTATGCACATTTTATTACATTATAATAGGCCCAGGCAACATTTCTGTGGCCAAGGAACACAAGTAATGTGGGGATAGGGTCAGAAGGTCATTAAGTAGGTAAGGTTAGTTCATATACTGTATGGGTAGTGATTGGCATTTAAAGAGACGTTTGCATAGTTTTTAATTGTGATAATCTCCTAGGGACTGCACTATAGTTTATGAGTTTCCTACATTAAAATCCTAGGAAAACTTGCTGTGAATTTTAGCATACATGATAGAAGGCCAAAGAAAAGAATCTCTGGGATCACATGCAGATTGTGCACCCTTGTTCAAGAGGAAAAGTCCTCTTGACTATACAGATTACTTTAACAAGAAACAAAAAAAAAGCAATACAACATGTTTAGAATATCTTTACTGGCCAAATCATGGCTAAAACCTTTGTTTTGAAAAGAGAAATGGTGGAAAGATTCCCTTTTGTTTCTCGTGAAATGTTGTGTATAATTCAGAGAAGGGAATTTGTTTTAACTTCACCTCTTATATCCTCCCTAGTCTTACTTCCCTCTTTATATACATATTTTGGAGGATTCTGCAAACTATTTCACCTTTTTTCTTATTCTGTAGTGTTTTTTTCTTTTGCTTTCACTTCACATTCTTGCGCCTTGTATTTCAACTCTTCTGAATCTCAACAAGGTTCATCCTGCAAAATGAGAGCAATTTTGAATTCTTTCATAAATCCTCCATTGTTAAGCTTTCTACATTTATCTCAATGCATATTTGATATGTTGATAGAGAAGGCTGCCTTTTTTATTCTGAAGTAGAAGAGTTGATCTCCATTATGGAAAAATGTAGATCATTATACAGAGAATAAAACCTGACCTACTTTATATTTCTAGTTTTTGATCAGTGGAAGATAAGTTCTGCTATCTAAAGTTTAAAGGTAGTGATGCTGCATCTAACATCCCTTAATAATAGTTAATTCATTTGATAACATAATTTAATTGGGAGCATTTTAAAGGAACTTGTATTCCTATTAGCTGATTCTTCTCCAATAACTTGATCACGCATTTAATTATTTATCATTATTTATTTGGCATAAGTGGATACTTTACTCCTCTCTCAAACCATCTGCCTGTCCAAAATGTGAACATTATTGTCCTCAAAAGAGCGTCCTTTTTCTTTAAAATGAAGGTACTCTATATTCTGATTCTGGTCCTGTAGTGCTGCTTCTCCTGTGCAGGGCCCTCTTCTTGTATAAAGTTTCTCTGCTTGGTTTCTGTAGTGTAGAGTTCTGAACACTCCTCAACGTTGGTGTCCAATCTTTATAAATAAATATCCTAAAACAGGTATTTGGGAAACACCACATACCTGTGTTCTTCAAACCCACAAACGCAGGGATCCACAGCCCACTACTAGACTGTGGCCTATTCAGAATTGCGCCATGCAAAAGTGCTCCAAAGACTTTTCTTCTCTCTTGCGTGAGAGCTGCGTGCATGCTGTCCTGCTGCTTGCGTGGCTAGTTCCCCTCTCTCCCCCACCAAGCCGGGCCACCAAGCCGCCTGCTCCCGATGCTCCAAAAGTGGAGGAGTGAGAGCAGAGGCTGAGTGGGACAAGCGCGCCCTACTCATCTTCAAATCACTGAGGCTGCCTGCGCAGGACACCTGATCCGCTTTTGGAGCGTCAGGCAGCCTCAGTGAGTCTGAAGGATCACAAGACTGTGCCTCCAAAGGCTTCTCTTCTCTGCACCAAAAGCTTTTGGAAATGGATGAAAGGCTTTGGGGAAGCAATTTCGTGCTGCTTCAGGCCTTCCATCCCTTTGCAAAAGCTTTTGGTGCAGAGAAGCCTGAAGGAGCTCAAAACCATGCCCCAAAGGATTTCCTTCTCTCCTACATGAGTGGAGCTGCATGCACATATGTGCATGTGTTGAGCTGCCGTTCATGTGGCCGCTTTCCCTTTTCCCCCCCATCCAGGCCACCAAGCTGCAAAGATTGGGGACTGCTGTACTAACACACTGAGACAGAAGCTTGCCCACACTAAAGTTCAGACACCAAAACATAAGAAGAGCAATATAGTGTAGGTCAGGGATGTCAAACTGCCAGCCCACGGGCCGGACGCGTCACGAAACCGCGCCCACCCCATTGCTGGCAATGGGGAAAAAGTTCCGATATGTTGCGCAACGTCATGTGATGTCACGAGTTTGACATGTCTGACGTAGGTAGTCCATCACTTCACGTTGTTGCAAACAAAATAGGGACAATTACATGCATAATCTGACTAGAGGAGTTTTTTGTTTCTTTTGATTATTTTTTTTCTGCAGGGTCTAGGAGCAGAAAGCAAGAATCTTTACAGTTTTCTGCTCCCAGTTATTCAGCTAAGTACTGATGTTAGCCAGCCTCCTCATGTGTATCTCCTAGAAGATGGATTAGAATTATGGTAAGTTTTATTCTTTTTCAAAAAATTTACAGAATATAATACATGAATACCATAAATCAGGAGTGTCAAACTGTCGGCCCGCGGACCAGATGCGTCATGCCAAAACTGCGGCCACCCCATTGCCAGCAATGGGAAAAAAGTCACAATACATCGTGACACGTCATGTGATGTCACGAGTTTGACACCTGTGCCATAAATGATTACACAAAAGAAAAAGAAGAAAATGAGAAAAGATGTAGTAGATGCAATACAAAATATCAGTAATTAAAAAAAACTTACAATTGCCATAAAATATAAAACTCACTATTTCAATTTTTCATCAATTAATTAATTGAATATATAAAACTAAACTCATCATTTTGGGAAATAATTATAACTCACTGTGAAACTCTAAACATTAATATTTATATTGATACCACCACTGTCACTATAAACAAAACTTAAATTGAAATCTGTTTTTTCTATTAGGAATCTTTTCAAAACAAGTAAATAAAAATATCATAAACTATTAAGATATATGCTAATCGTTACAAGGACAAATTTGGCCCAATAATAGAAAAGTGATAGTTAATGGCCTATATCAGACGTTTGGGGAATACGCAGCAATGGCAAATTAACAGTATACACCCAGAATAAATGTTTGACTAAATCTAGCCAAAATGGTTCCCATAAATGTCATATAACAAAGAGAGCTTGGATGCCTAGAGCAGGGCTTTTCAACCAGTGGTACGGGTACTACCTGTGGTACATTGGCACCTGGCAGGTGGTACGCAACCATCCTAGAAAAGTAGCGGGGGAGGGGAATGAGCTGAACCGGTGGCAGCACCGCACAAGCCTGAGCGAGAGACGACTGGAGCTGCAGGGCTCTCGGTTCAGCGGAAGTGCCAGGATCAGCGCTTCTTTAGGACTGTCAGGGCTCAGTGGAAGCGCCAGGATCAATGCCAGGCTCCAACTGGAGCTCGGCGCTGATCCCGGCGCTTCTGCTGAGCCCAGAAGAAGCGCCGATCAGGTGGAATGTTGCAACATCTCCAGGGTCTTGTGATTTACATTCAGATGCTTGGCAACTGATTCATATTTATGACGGTCACAGTGTCCCAGGGTCATGGGAAGTGATCAAAATCTGCTGCAACCACCCAGCAGAGGGGGAATAAAAACCAAACACCCCACCCCACCCCCGCTGCCAATTCTCAGCAGAAATGCTCACAACAATGAAAATCTTGGACAGGAGGAAGAGCGCCGCTGGGCGGGCAGGCAGGTGTCTTGCTCAGCTGTGCCTTGGGCACTTTTTTCAATGCCATTGTAACTTCAAACAGTCACTAAGCGAACTGTTGTAAGTCGAGGACTACCTGTACTTTATCACTTTTTTCCTTTTTTGGGGGGGGTCATCAAGTTTTTGACACCTTGCTAGGCGACTGGTGGTACTTGGATATTGCCATATCCTAAAAGTGGTGCAGTGGGTGAAAAGGTTGAAAAGCCCAGGCCTAGAGCAGCAGTCCTCAAACTTTCTGGTTCTGTGGACTAGCAACAGCAGTGAGGTGGGGATGGTTCTGCACAAGCAGGCGAGCCCACAAAGCTTCATTTGCACAAATGGAGTTTCGCACGCTTGCTGGGGACCCCTGACCTCTAGTACAGTTTTAAGGAGAAAATATTTGATGTGCCATTAGTAGTCCTAAAGTTTATAAATAATTTGATACAATCACCATTTGGGTTCAGTGGGAGGGAATCAAGAACTTAATATTGTTTTTACTTACTGATTTTAGTATTTTTAAAACAATATATTGTTTTCCACATAAGAACATATACAGGTCTATCTTCCTTTTGTGTTATTACCAGGAAAAAAAATCAGATTGTTTTATATTGGGAATTGGCTGGTATGACACTCATTGTTCCAGTATAACCTGTTTGCCATTAAAAAGTCTGCCTAGCTCTTTTCTTCCTTGCTTTTTCATGAAAAGGAATAAACAGGAAGTTTAGCAGCTGAGAACAAGAGCAAAATGAAATGAGAAGGATATGGCCATAAGGGAAGTACAGCAGGAAATCAAAGGGGACAGAAACGATGTATCACTGCTCAGTGAGCTGCCCAGCTAGAGCATAAAGAAATGGGTAAAGACAAATCCAGAATGACGGATTAATTTAGAAACCACAGCTCAGACTACATTTGAGTAACCTTTGGGCAGAAGAGCTTGCAGCTAACCTGGTCCGGTCTTAAGTATTAAAGGAACCCTCAGCTATGTACAGTCAGATTAATAAAAGAAGAAGGCACAAGGAGGCAGCAGAAACTCTGTGCTACAAGCCCTCTTTGAAAGGGAAAACTGTGAAAAGTGTTTTTATACAACCCACATTAATAAGCATGTAACTTTAAGATTATTTGTATTTGGGGACAAAATTGAGCGATATGAATTGCTCTATCTTGAGGTTTTAGATCGTTTATATCTTTGCATATACTTGATTTAAAGGTATATTTGCTCCTGTATGATTTACATCTTTTGCATCAGTTTCTTATTGTATCTCTTGATTATATTTATGTTTATGCTTAGATTTTGAAGGTATAGACAGTGTAGAAAAATAAAGGCCAAAACTTAGTTTATTGACTTTGCCACTACAAGCTGATTACCTCAACTAGGATTTGACCTGCCCTATAATTAATGGAGCTTAATAGTGCTCCCTTTCAGTATACTGTAGTGTAGTATGTCTCCCCTGTGTAAAGAGGCAGTAATAAATTTTGTTGAAGAAAACCTTATTTAGCCTAGGAAAGCTATTCAGTTTTAAGCCAGTTCAAATACTCTGTTTCTGCTCATGGTGATTGGGAAGATGGTTGCCTTGTAGCTTGAGATGCATTTGAATAGTAAATGATTTTCTGGAGCAATTTCAGTTGAATGTTTAGCTGAGATTTGGTACTGGAATTGTTTTCATTGATTTGTGAATAAATTATATCACCAACTGGATGAAAAGCTGTATGATCAAAATCATAACATTGTTAAATGTTGCAAAATTTTGTCATTCTCTTCCAGAGGATACAAGGATGAAAATATTGATTTTGAAGGGTGAATATCTGCTACTGTTTCTAGTGGACATTTTTCTATAGAAATTCAAATTGAAAATGCATCCAAATAATTTATAGCATATACTTTAAGAAAAATAAATAATTTGTGAGAGGAACTATTTACCCTTTATCTCATAGAATAATACAGTTTTCATCTTTTATATAATAAATTCTATCACATGTGGAGTAGCGGCCATTAAATTATCGATTCTTCTGGAAAAAAATAATTGAATATGTCTTTAATATTTAAAGTTAGGGAGATAATTGAGAGATCTCTCAGACAAGTGATTTTTGAGACATAGTCTTGTAATGTCTCTTACTGATTTATGCAGTGGCAGGAAAACACTAAAGGAGGAAAATTAAGCTACTATTCAATATTATCTGTTTTTGTAAATTGATATACAGATCCAAAGTATCACAGTTTTCTTAAGATGTATATGGTAGCAATGAAGAAAGAAACTAATATTAGAATGAGAGACAGAATCTATAGAAATACCTTTGCTTTCTATAGTTTCTGCATCTCATTCTAATATTAGTTTCTCTCTTCATTACTACCATATATATCAGACATGTCAAACACAAGGGCCGGATGCAGCCCGCGAAGTGGTTTCATGTGGCCCGTGAAGCCATCCTGGAAACAGTGAGGGAACGTCCCCCGCTACCTTGGCCCTGGCCCAGGCCGGCCGGGAGCTAATGTACAATTTTGTGGTGGCCATCTATGCGGAAATGCTTTCAGTCTTAGCTCCACAAAGCCATCTAGAAACAACGAGGAACCAGCCCCTGCCATGTCGGCCCCGCCCCCTGGGTGCATGCTGGGGAAGTGTCACCCTTTGTGAGGAATGAAGAAATGGACCATGCCTTGGCTCTTGCCCCGGTCCCACCCCCTTCTGCCAGAGACCCTCAGATCTGTCCCACTCCTGCCCAGGCCCCCACAGGCATCCTTGACACGAACGATGTGCAGCTGGCCATGCCCACCCAGTAGGCCACAGTCACTCCATCCATGCCCACCCAATAGGCTGCACCCACCCTGGCCACACACACCCAGTCCACCCGAGGGCAACCGCAGTGCTGATACGGCCCTCAATGAAATTGAGTTTGACACCCCTGATATATATCTTGTTTTACAGAATTTGCATAACTAAGCAATGCAGTCTTAAAACATTATCACATCTCTTACAACAGTAATTTCTGCAGTCTGGGGCTGCTGTTATTAACTGAATCCCATGGCTGTTAGAGAAGGCAACTTCCTGCTGTCTTTTTGCAACCAATCAGTGGGGAAGCCAGCAGGAAGTTGTAAGTCCCACGCACACAGTCAGGTAAGTAGCTACTGCTGCTGAGTGAGGGGATGGGTGGAGAATGGAAGAGGGTCACGCAGGGTATGCAGTAGTGCATGAGTGGCTGGCAAGACATGAGTGCAGTGGCTGGGGGGGAGATATGTGGGTGGAGAAGAGCACTGCAACTTCAATCTTTCCTTCTAGCTTCCCTTTGACTGAGTGGGGGAACCAGCATGGAAGATTGCAAATTGTGACATTTGTCAAGCAGTTGTCAGTGGAAATGGGTTGCCAAGCACCCAGATTGCCATCACATAACCATAGTGGTTTTGAGATGGCCAGAAGTCCAGGGGCTAGTCTTAACCACATTCATTCAATGCCAGCGAATGGTCGCTGAATAAATGGTCACAATTCAAGGACTATCTATATAAGTTTTTTTAAGCTACAGTATAAAGTAATATGTTACCAAATTATCTATTATTACCGCATAAGTATGTGAACTTAAACACTGTTCAAAATACTGTGGCAAGAAATCTTCATTTTTAATAATATACTCTAGTTTCTAGGAAATATTATATTATTTAATGTTATTTTATTTGTTTCTCTAGGCTAGTAACGTTAGAGAATAGTCCTTGCCTAACTCCAGAGCTGTTGCGAATATTCCAGAACATGTCAGCTCTTCTTGGTAAGCCATCAGTATTTGAATTTAATGTATTTGGATTCAAAAATTGTATAATATTTTTCTTCTACACAAAATAGAGTTTTTAAAAAAAATATCATCTAAATGACTGAAGAAAGAATGATATAACATATTGCAGTATCTGAGAGGTAAACCAATCCTTCTGAAAAATGTAAAGAATTCAGTTTAACATGTATGTTGCATGTTCTATTGCATCTGTTATTGCAGAGTGTCTAATTGTACAATAAATATTCCACTCACTACAATATGTAGATTTATCAAGAGGAACGATAACAGTGGTATATTCACTGTTTTTATATTTACCAAGTAGAGTTGTTGATAAGTTACCTTAAATGTGATCACTTGTTCTATAAGCATTATTGAGCTGTGATCACTTCACTTATCTTAAAAATATTAAATAAAAAGTATTTTGGAGATTTTTTCCAGAATGTATATCTTTGACCTTTTTAAGATGTAATTTTTTTAGTCTTGTGAGTAATTTATCTTCTTTCATAGATAATATTTTAAAAACCACTCTACTTGTGTATGCAGTTATAGCCAGATTATTTGGGTTCCATGTTTCTAGTTAAGGAGAAATGTGATTTGCTTTTATCACAAGTTTGGCTTCTGATTACTACAATTCAATATTGTATCTTTACACAGTAGTCCTCGACTTACAACCATTCATTTAGTAATCACTCGAGTTACAGCAACACTGAAAAAATGACTTACGGCGAGTTTTCATACTTATGACCATTACAGCATCCCCATGGTCATGTGATTAAAATATGGACTTTTGGCAACTGGCATGTATCTATGACAGGTGCATCGTCCTGGGGTCATATGATCACCTTTTGCGAGTTTCTGACAAGCAAAGTCAAGGTGAAGCCAGATTCACTTAATGACTATGCTACTAACTTAACAACTGCAATTGCAGTGATTCACTTAACAACTATGGCAAGAAAGGTCATAAAATGGAGCAAAATTCACGTAACAGCTACCTTGCTTAACAACAGAAATGGTGGGCTCAGTTGTAGTCATAAATCAAGGACTACCTGTAGTCCTTTTATATCAAATCTCATATTGAAAGGAAAATTATTTTCTTGTGTAATTGTGTGTGATTAAGACATTTTAGGGTGCAAAATGTGATTGAACAGTGACAATTTTGAAACATTGATTTTCTGATTAATGACATTTTTTTTGACATGTTCCTTGTGAATCATACTGCAATCTTTGTCTGTGTAGAACTATATTAGGAAGTTTCTAATATAAGAGTGTCCCAAAAATGAAAAAGAAGTTTTATTTTAAATTAAAAACAAAACACTGAATCTCAACAAATCCAATTCCAATCTGAACCCAGCAGTCGATTTTACATAGGGTTTTTTTTTATGGCAGTCATTGAGCGAACACCATGGGTATAAAATGAATGCTGCAGTCATTAAGTGAACCAATATTTTGCTATGGACATGGTTTTATCTAAAACCAGAAGTAACTGATTTTTGAAATGGGCAGTATATAAATGTTCGAATGAATTATACATGCAAATATACAGATTCCATTGTACTCCTAATGACACTGTAATAGCCTTCTCAATAATCAGTAATTAAAATCATGGTTTTCAGGAGTAATTTACAGATAGTATAAATGGATATTTAGATGATTTTAGAATAATTTATAAGAATAAAATGAATATACAGGTAGTGCTTGACTTAAAATAGTTCATTTAGTGACCGTTCAAAGTTACACTGAACTGAAAAGGACTGAAGAAAAGGACTTATGACTGCTTTTCACACTTATGGCTATTGCAGCAACCCCATGTTCACATAATCAAAATTCAGTGCTTGACAACTGACTCATATTTATGATGGTTGCAATCTCCTGGGGTCATGTGATCACCTTTTGTGACCTGACAAGCAAAGTCAATGGGGAAGCCAGATTCATTTAACAACCATGTTACTAACTTAACAACTGCAGTGTGATTCACTTAATAACTATGGCAAGAAAGTTCATAAAATTGGGCAAACTCACTTAACAAATGTCTCACTTAGCAGCAGAAATTTTGGGCTCAATTGTGGTTGTAAGTCAAAAACTACCTATATTACAGAATATTACCTAGAATTGGGTTTACTTAAGTGGTATTAAACTGTAGCAAAAAAGCTAAAATCATCTGATGCTCATTTTCTAGAATTAAGTTCAGAAAACATCCGAACTTGCTTTAAGATCATCAATGCTTATCTTTTTTTATCTTCATCTGAATTTCTTCAGGTATGTATCAAATCAAATTCAATATTATATATTTCATGAAGCTTGAATTATTCTTATTCTATGAATAATTAGTTCATGTAGCATAGTAATAATTAATTGGCTCTACTTTTTTCTTTATGTGCTTTATGGTAACAAGATGAGAAATAACTTTGGCCAATATTTTATTGTAGAAATATGATAAAGAATAAATGTCATTCATAAATGTATGTATGTATGTATGTATGTATGTATGTATGTATGTATGTATGTATGTATATATGTATCCATTATGATAGCCAACTGCTATCTTCCTCAAATACTACCTTTTGATGGTTAATTAGAGTAGCAAGTTTTTTTACAGCTCTACTTTGCATGGCTAAATGGCTTATTTAGCAAATTTGTAGCCAGTCCTATATGTTGGACAGTATATTGGAAAAAGCAAATCAAATGTGATCAAAATTGTTTTATTGCATCTGCTTCCCTCAACAGTTCTTTATTCAAAGTACAAGTAGTCCTCAGCTTATGACTGGTTTCTTAGTAACCGTTAAAATTATGACAAACCTCACAGCTACTTACATGCCTTACAAGGATTATCTGTAGATGCATTTTGAATACAGTTCTTGAGATATACATGTGATTTAAAAAACAAAGTCAATAGAAAAGGAGAGCACTGTACAGTTTAGTCAATTATATAATTAAATTTCTGGGCACTAATTATAGTCAATATCCTTTTTTGTGTTATTACTATGGTTAACTTGAAAGTGGATTTTTTATTATTAAGGTCTCTGTACCTTCAGTTGCAGCATTCTTAGTATTTGGATTTTGTTTCTTTTATTAAGTACACTGTGTCTAAGAATCAGTTAAATGTTTTGGCATCATTGGCTTTTCAAAGTATAGCAGTTCATAATGACTATTGGTTTTATGGGTGAACACCTTCCAGGTTCATAAACTAGCTTCATTTAGCAAAATTACAAGTGAAATATAAGGCTTTTAACCTACTTAATTTTTGTATGCAAATTACTGTACATGCTAATGACAATCACATGTACTCACCTCCAATGTAAACACTGAATTAAAGTCATTTTAACAATTATAATAGAATTTCTTACTATCTTATTTTTGCTTATGTATGCCTCATTGCCTGTCCTGTTAGCATTATTAGAATGACTATGAATTTTATGTCCCTGCTTCTTCACTGGGCTTTTGCCTTTTTGGAAAAGTTGTTTCTGGAAATTGTTGTGTTCTAGCAATAACCATTTGGCACAGAGGGATGCAGTTGAAGAGATAATGATTGAATTGTCCGTCAATGAGTTCATATGCAGCAATGCATAAGCCTAATTTTATTGTATCCACCTGTTACAGGCAAAGAAATGTTGGAGGAGGAACAATTTAAAAATAATTCTTTTAAAGCTAATGAAAGTAAAGGTTATATTATAAGATTATATTGGACATTAAAGCTAGAAGATAAAACAGCTTCAGCTACTATAGAATGATATTAAAATTATAATTATTGATTTAATAAATGCACATCTTTGCAAATTATGTCATGGCTTTCAATAAATTTTTATAAGCAAATTGACAATAGAATTATACATTAATTTTTATTCTAGATCTATTCATCTGATCTCTGCAGATCATTTTGTGAGATCTTAAAAAATGTAACTACTGAAGGTCAAGTTCAAGTTCTGAAGGTAAAGAATTGATCTTTAATTTGTTGTTAATTTAATTTATTAATGTGTAGATTTTTAAATTAAATGCAGTTATAAACTTGCTTGCATTTCCTTATCTGTTATCAAACAAGCATTGCAGATTTTGTAAAATGGTACTGACCCTCCTTATTCAATTAACTCTACTTCTTAGTCAAATTATTATTATTATTACTAGATTATATTTATTTATTTGTATCCCACCTTTATTATTTTCATAAATAACTCAAGATGGCAAACATACATAATCTTCCTCCTCCTATTTTCCACCCAACAACAAATCTGTGAAATTGGTTGGGCTGAGAATGACTTCCACCTGACTTTCATGCCTAAAGCAGAACTAGAACTCATAATCTCCAAAGTGTTGTTGGACTGTGAAATTGAAAATAAATGAACATTTCTGATGAATATTACACTCTCTTCACTTCCCATCAAATTTATTTTATTAAATATAGTTTATAAATAAAGCACTTGAAAGGCATTTTACTATTTTTATCTGTCCTTCAAAATAATATATGATAGTTTGAAATAGTTTGTGTACTGAAACAATTTCATTTCAAAATCAAGGGTAGTAGGAAAAGATTTATTGTGGAGTGGAACTTTTGAAGAAAATTCCAGAGAAACAAATGTGCGATTGAGGAATAGGAAGAGATGAAGTTGAAGAGAAATAGATGAAGTTGAAAAGAAACAGATGAAAAGAGTACCTATATAAAATGTGTAGACAAGCATGTTTTTAGGAAGTTGGCATTTTGAATAAGGAAGCAAAAATTTAGAAAATTGTAGTTATATATCTTAGATTAACTGTATCATTTAAAATGCCCTTCATAAAATACATAAGGGCATTGATGACATTTTAGAAACAATTATATCAATAAGCAGTTTTCAGGAATTGTTGTCTAACATCTTTTTTGAATCTTTCTTTATTCTTACTTTTGAAAATTGAAGGAGAGACAAGTTATCATTTAACATTCAGTTACCTGAACTAAACGTTTTGTTTGAATAATGCCACACACCACTTGTTATAACCTTACTGACATCATTTCAGCAATCTGGTTTTTTTTTATCTTTATAATATTTGTTGTGAGAAAGAATTGTTTCCCATGAAGTGATCATAAAAATATATAACACCAATGACATTCAACCTATCCATCTCTTGGTTCAAGGCATCGAAAATGAGTATTGCTGTAAGGTCTCTCCACTTTATAAGAAAGCCGGATTTTTTGGTTCTAACTCTAACATAACAGCATTCAACTTGGTAAATGGGAACAGGAGACAAAGCTCAACATAGTAGTTGAAAAAATATCAGAATGTTCAAATGAATAAAAGCATAATATAGAACAGAGAATACCAGATTTGTAGGCTAGACAGGGAAATGAAAAGAATGATCAGGGAAAGTAATGGCAATTACTCCAGTAGTGTTGCCAAGAATACAGCATGTTTATCTAGTCACCAGAAGTCAAGCTTAACTCAAGTGTATCAATATTGTTTTATGCCATATATATTATAGTACACTTCTTCTCTGTTGATTGAAACTAAGAGACTGTTTAAAGAATTAATCTTATTAATATCTTTCAGGTTGTTGAAAATGTTTTCAAAGTGAATCCAGTGCTGGGTCCTGAAATGTTTCAACCTCTTTTGCCATCTGTGGTTCGTGGAATTATACAGGGGGAGGTAAGGGTTTCTTAGCCATAATGTGTTCCTTAGTCAGGAATTAAAAAAAAAACTAATGAGGAACTACTGAAAAACTTTAAATGCTTCCTGTATAAATTTGTCTTCAGTGTTAATTACTGCTAACTCCATTTTTTTCTTCTATTACTATGACAAACTCAGTTAATGCAGTTTATAGAATGGCTCTGTATACTGGTATCATAACAATACTTTTTTATTACTTTTAAAATCAGAGTTATATATGTAGTGTAAATTTATAGAACTAGTATATTGCCATTTCTATATTACTTCTCAGAATAGTGAATTATTTAGATAATTAATTATACAGTTTTATTGTTGGAAATTTTAATATTTCCCCCCTAAAAATTGACTATTATCTTTCAATCCATCTCAAATTCTTCAGTTTCAAATCAACTACTTAAGGCACTGGGGGAGGCATGAGTTACAGTATTAATATCTTGATAAAATGATATCCTGAACCCAAGATTTTCAATTAACCACATATGTTTTTGCTGTGGACTAGGATAGTGAAAATTGTCACTTTCAAAATACACCTTTGCCTTGTGGGAGACAAGATCAATTCCAGATTCATTGGTTTCTCCTGTTTGCCTCAGGTGCAGAAAGTGATTAGAGCATCCCAGAGATTATGTTCTAGCATTTATTTTATTTTGAATGTAGAAGAATTCATTATTTTATTATATTTCATAGATCTTTTAAAAGTTTTTTTTACTTCAAATAGCTGGTGTTTTATAATGCGAAGTGTTACAATAACAATATTTAACAGTTTTTCATCCACTTGTATCATTTCGCAATAATGTACCATTAAATCTTTGCACTGAAGGGTGTTGCCATTGGGAATTACAACAATGAGCTACTTGTTTCTAGATTAATAGCACATTTTAAAGCAAATCCCTCCACCTCATGTAACCTTATATGTATTAACTTGCTTTTTAAGAATTGTTGTAAAATCTTGGGCTCCTTTGCTCACAAACTGAACTCAGTGGCACTTATTTTGAGCAGTCATTCATAGAATTGTTACTGTAAATCCTTGGAAAGAATGGGAGCCAGAGAAAAAATAAGATTCATTTCTTCTTGATATTCTTATAAGTACACCTTCCAAATGCCCATGTCGAGTAAATATACAGTACTGCAAAATTGGTAATGCAGTAGGACATGTGGAATACCCTTATTTAATCAGTCCAGCATGCTTTTGTCATGTTCATACTTTCTCACTGATAAAAAGCTAAAATGAACTGTTTTCATTTCAGAGATACCCAGTTGTAATGTCAACTTACTTGGGAGTCATTGGTAGAGTCTTGTTGCAAAATAAAAGTTTTTTCTCATTGCTCCTAAACCAGATGGCTTGTGAATTTAACCAAGAAGTAAGTGATTTATATTTTATGCCTTTTGTTTATGAAAGACATAAATTGACCAACATTTAAAATATTCCTGTCAGAGCAATTTTTTTGTCACTGGAAATCTTTTCTTTTTCATTATAGTGCATTTGAGCTAACATTTAGCTTGTTAGGTGAAGTTATAGCAGTTTCGAGCAGATCAATTTATTATCTTCACTGATTTCTTTTCTTTTTGTTCACTTTAATGTTTGTTGTCTTAGTCATAAATATGATACATTGCCTTCTCTTTTTTTCTTTTGCACTTTTCACTTTTATTCTTTTTTTAAGTTTAATTTATATTAGATATTACTACTATAATAATTTTTTTTAAAAATGTGTGTGTTATGTGTATGCGTGTGTATACCTTTTCAGAGGATTTTTTACTTCTTTGACTTTATTCAGTGGCTTTTCATTCAATCCATAAAAAGGCATGGTGTTGATCTTGGATAGCATGGCTTCTTAGCTCATTATCTATTTATTTAGGGCCAGAGGAAACTAGTGAGGAACTGAATCAGCACATTTTAAAAAAAATTACTGTCACAGTAGTTGGAGTTCTGGCATTGGTCCAGATGGAAGACCATTTGCCTCAGCTGATTTCTTAATGAACAACTTCGGTATCTCATTTCAAAAAATTTTCATTAATTTTTCATTACTGGCTCATGATAATTTTTACAGATGCTTCAGTAAATCATTTAAGCCACTGTATTGTCATTTATAATTAATTTGTGATCTTGCATGAGCTGAGTCTATGATCTACTGGGTTTTTTTTTTGCTCCTTTGCACAAATCTGAACTTTGAATCATTTGATGATTTTTCAATAATGCTCTTGATTGCATTAGTTCAAATAACTTGCTCCTTCGTAGCCAAAGTCAATCTATAGTTTTAATGTTGTAAGCCATTTTTAATGTTGTAAACCATTTTATCTTTATCCACTTTCCCCTCAGTCTTTGGTAGAAATTGACCATGTAATGTTTTTCCTTATCAGCATACTTTTTGTGTTTTTAGTACAATATTTTTGATATTTACTTTGTTTTTCCTTTACATTTAGTAAGTTCCAATTTTTAATTGCATCAGTGCTTGTTCTTGGCTGTCTTTTACACAATCAGCCAACATACGATTTTCTTAAACAATAAACCTCTGTTTCCATTTGGGCAGAGTATAATCCAGGGGTAGGCAACCTTGGCTCTTTTATGACTCGTGGACTTCAACTCCCAGAATTCCTGAGCCAGCCATGGCTGGCTCAGGAATTCTGGGAGTTGAAGTCCACGAGTCATAAAAGAGCCAAGGTTGCCTACCCCTGGTATAATCTATCAATATCACTCTGAGGTTGTAATGCATAGTGAACATTCATAATTTTTTTTATTTTTTGGTTTATACATCACTTTTTTAAAAAATTGGTTCATTTCAACTTGTGTCCAGTTAATTTCAGCAGTGTATCGTATCAGAGCTGTGGCCCAGGTATTGATGGTATTTCCATGGATCAATTTTGTTTTTAACAATTTTGTCACTCTTTGGATGTATTTTTACTAATCACATTTTTAACTTGTCCATGCTTGATATTACCCAACCGTAAAGCGATATTCATAAGCTTCTTCCTATACTCCTGATGATTTGGTCATTTGTATTTAAATTTCATTATTGTATGACCAAATTGGTTGGTTGATTGATTGCTACTGTAGCACATTTCTGTAGGCCAAATTCCAGTTGTATATATGTGCTATAAATTCTTACGTTTTTTGTCAATGTCTGTAATTCGATTTCTGATTTTCCAAAAGCTTCAGATCATCATTATAAAGCAAATGTGAGATTTTATTAGCAACTTTTTGCTGTTTGGTAGTAAAGATGTGGTTTCTTCAAAATCACTGAAAGTGGAATCATAGCAATGACAAATGATAAGGATGACAATGAGTCACTCTCTCCTAATGCTGACAAGCCAATATTTTCTATTTCCTATCATTAATTCTGTCTTTCACTGTTTCATTATTTTTTTCTATAAACAGTGAAATGTTTTTACTGACACCAGTTGTTTCCAAATATATGATGATCCAACTATGAAGTAATGAATCAAACACCTTTTTTATAGTCAATCAAGACTATATGAAGATTGATGTTTGCAATTCTTCAGAACTGTTTTGTCAATTAGATGTTGATATTTTGTACCTCTGCTTTTCCTTTTATTTCCTTTCTGTTCTACTGGAAGGACGGTTTTTCTTATAAATAGTCTTGGATATTGTCTGATATTATTACAATGTGTAATTTAAACATTATAGATAAGCTTGTCATTGGCCTATAATTTCCTGATGTTGCCCCTTTTGCTGGGTTTTTGTTGTTATTACTTCTTCTATGTTATCATTTCTGTAATTCATATCAGCTGCTATATTTGCTATTGTTATCTGAGTTTCTTTTATCATTTACTATGTTTTGAGATCTTCCATTTGCTAGTAATATTGGTATCTATATTCATTCTTTTATATGTTCATAAGTAATTACAATTTGTTTATTCTGCCTCAAATATTCATTGAGCTATCTTTTAATTATCCACCTTCTCAAAAAATATCATATTTTTTCCCAGTTTGTATTTCCCAGTGGGCTTAAATTAATTGAATATATAAAAAATGTCTCAAAGCAGTCATTTTCGGTGTAATGTTCAGTCATTAAATAACAACAAACTAGTTAATTTATTTAATGTTTCTATCCAGGGAAATTCACTTTATTCAGCAAGGATACTTTAGAAGATAAATCCTGCTTAGCAATTACGATTAAAGAAACAGCATCAGATATCAGGCTTTGCTTTTAAGAGATTTCAAAAATAATTTTCGAAGGGACTGTGGTAATATGTAGCTTCAAAAATATATACTCATGAAATGTATGTTGACACATTCATTTTTATTTTGAATTTAGATCTCTTTATGTAGTTTATTTTCACACATGCCATACATAGTTTTGTCCACAGCCATATGCATGTTTTATTTATAGTGTTCAAAATTATGGCTTTGTATTTTGGAATCCAAGTTAATTGATTATTCTGTTGGCAGAATAACAAAACCTATAAAATGTAAAATTATATTTTTTTCATTGTGTTGCAAATAGCTAGGTTGTTTATCGTGCTTATGAATGAGATTTTAACTAACATTGTTTTTCTCTAGCCAGACCATCTCCTTGGGCACATAATTGAAATGTGGGTTGATCGCATGGATAATATAACACAGCCAGAGAGAAGAAAGCTTTCAGCTTTGGCTTTGCTTTCATTACTGCCATCAGACAATAGGTAAGCAACACTTTAGATTTATTGACTACAAAATATAGTGAGCAGTTAGCCTTATCAAAGTGCCACTTTCATTTTTGAATTTTCTTTTATTCAAATCCTTACAAATTTGTTCTCCTATGAACTTAAATATACATCCTCTATATATAGTTATTTGCACAGTGCTTTGGATTCTGGCTCCTGACTGATAATATGTGAATGTTTTAGTTTCATCTGTTTTTTTGTTGGCCATAGGAATAAACAGTTAAACAAGACAATACAAAACAAAGTGAAAATTACTGAATTCATTGACATTATGGATCCTTCTGTTGAGCTTAAGAAAAACAACTTCTTAACTATGAAAGTCAGTTCGATTATTGTAGTATTGGATACCAGCAATAGAGTTGAACCCAGATACATCATTTTTTCATCCATAAACATGTTTCGTCTAGTACAGACATTCTGGTGGAAATAAAGGAAATATACTTTTGCTCAAGAGATTTTCCCATCCTTCTAGATCAAAATGTTGGAGGGCTTAAGCGGCTACTGAAGAAGAGGCAAACCCGGAAAAAAAGATTAATGTAAATCAAAAATAAATAAAATTTCATAACTTAAGGATTAATAGATTTAATATTTTTTCTGAGAAGGCCTTCAGAACAAACCTTAGATCCAACTGGAGAAGACGACTGCATTCCAGGGCTGGCAGGCAGAATAGTCCCATATGGGCAGCTATTCAAGGCAGGGGTGTCAAACTGCCGACCCGTGGGCTGGACGCATCATCCGGAAGCCGCACCCACCCCATTGCCAGCAATGGCAAAACCGTCCCAATACGTTGTGCGACATCATGTGACATCGCGAGTTTGACATGTCTGATTTAAGGATTCTCTTCATATTCTTAGATTTTACAGATTGAGTAGTAGTTATGAGATTTGGTCAGTTAAACCCAAAGTTTAATTTACTGGATCTATATAAATAATGGCAATTGGTACAAACAAGCAAACTGATCAATCCCCAAAAAAAGTTTAGTAAATGTCGACTTTCATTTTTTAAAAATTTAGAAAATGTTTGTGCTTCCAACTTAATTAACAGCTCTGGGTAACTTAGAAAAATACAGTAAAAAATTAAAGCTTCATAAAAAACAAGAAACATTAAAAAGAGTTAATTAAGTATTAAATATTCTCTCATCTCCCAGAGCTTAATGCATGGTTCTCTGCCTGTTGTTGCTGTACTTTCTCCAAGGTCATCATCATGACTCCATATAATGAGATAACTAATATCCTAGAAGAGGGAAATAATATTCAAAACTATCTTGGTATGGTGCAGAACTGCACTGAAAGTAACAAAATAAAATTTAATAGAGAAGTCACTTAGGAAACAAAAATCAAACGTGTGGGTATAGAAGGGGTTGGGGATATCTGGTTGGTAATGACACTTGAGGAAAAAAAACCCCTCAGAATAGCAGTTGATTGCAAACTGAATATGAGCCATCAGCATAATATGACTGCCAGAAAGGCAAATGAAGTTTTGGACTGCATCAACATCATAATTTACAAATCACAGGAAATAATTGTTCGTACTCTATTTTGGTCACGCCCCATTTCAATTACTATATCCAGTTCTGAAGGCCACGCTACAAGAAGTCAGAGAAATTGGAACAACTTCAGACAACACCAACAAGGATGATCAGCAGATTAGGAAATTATCAGCGAAAAGAGAATGAATGATCTAGTTAGGTTTAGCCTTTAAAAAGTCAGCTGAGAGGAAATACAATAGCACTTTTCAAATATCAGAAAACATGTCAAGAAAATGAAATAATGGTATGTTCTCTCTTATTTCAGAATCAATGGAATAACTTAACCATAGGAGGTAAAGTCTGACTAAATACTAGAAAAAAAAGAGTGTTTCACTTTCCCCCTCCATGAAGTGATGGGAATGGATGCATTCAAGTGAAGTATAGACAGCTGTCTCTGTGCTTTAATTTGGATTTCTGTTCTGATTTAATCCTGGATTTAATGCCTAATTGGTCACCTTTCTATGTTTCTCTATTGTCTAAGTACACCCCCAGAACATTTATATTTCCTGAATCCTAAAATCCTGTCCTGGAATCAGTAATATTTTGCCCATATTTAGTTTTAGATTGTTCTTCCACATCTAGTGCCATTTCCAATTCTTTACTGTTTGGATCCATTCAGAAATCCTGAATTTACCCAACTTCAAGGAAAGGATTCTATTCAACATATTGGTAACATGTTCCTAATCTGTGAATGAGCCTTCATATAGATAGAAAATAACACAAAGAAGAGTGAAGAAAAGCCTTCCTAAACTCCTTAGGAAAACTCCTAGAAGGTGTAATAGATGCCTGTCAATATCTCTAATAATGGTGCAGGAAAAGTGGAGTGGAAATATTTTAAAGTAGTACCTATAAACCAAATCCAGATCTAAATCTTCTAATTAAAACAACATGCTAAATGATATTAAACAAGATAGATAGTTTAATATCATCAAGATACCCATGGTCAACAATATTACTACAGGAATATCAAGATATCTTTCTTTCTCTTGGTAATAAGCATCTGTCAGAACAGCCACAGCCATTTTTTGTTTTATATCCAGTATAAATATCAAAAGAATTTGGAAAGGCAACCATTATGATAAGTTTCAATGAAAATGAAATGAAAATGAATTATTGGCATCAGGCATTTGTTAAAATTATCCAACCAAAGATGACTTCTTAGGCAAGGGCCTTGGAAGCACCTCCTTTCAGAAGATGGGACTCTTTATATATGAAATAAATGTTAATACATTGTGTAATAATTGACTGGATCAGGCCAATTAGAGGACCCTTTTTTCCTATTGTAGCATAACGTTTTCTCTTCAAAGAGAACTTTGAGAAATCAGATGTCTTATCTATTCAGTAGCATTTGTTAGGACTACTTCATATTCAAAAACAGCACCAGTCTGAGATCACTACCACTAATATTGTGGAGCTTCAAACAAATAACCTCTGAAGTTATTTGGTTCTGTTGCTCCAGAGGAAACACATTGGAGGCAGCTTTGATGGTTTCCTTTTATAGTTACGTTGGCATGCTTTTCTTAGTGGAAAATTCTGCCTTCTTCTAAAGCAATGTAATTATTTTCTGGATGCCTTGGGGGAGTGCTTTGCTGTGCCCCCAGAAAGTGGACACTTATTTATTTTTACTTCATTCTCCTGGCTGTGAAAAAACAAATGCAGCAAGCAAAGAATAAGGAAAAGTGGAAAGCCTCTATGGTTTGTAATGCTGTCATATTGGCTAAATAGAAAGTGTGCTGGCTGGCTCAAGGGAAAAAAAGCAAAAACCCAGAGCTTTACAAAAAAAATCTGGTGGCAGTGAAGCAAAGACAAGGGCATTATGGAAGTGGCCACAGATTAGCAACTGATTCCTTTATAATCATATACTATCATTTTTGCCACCTATAACTTTCTTCTCTGTGCATTCAGGCATTCTGCATGGACCATAACACTTATTTTAATGGTAGTTCGATTGGGGGGGACGTTCTAAGTTTGAATACAGTGAAATATTTCCTTCTCTGCTTATAATCAATTGCTTTCACCATTTACAAGCACCTTACATATTTATTTGCTCTTATATTTAGATTTGCTTCAACATATTCAATAGTTAGAGAAGAAAAATAAATCAAGTTTAGTTTTAAAATAAGTTAGAGATTTTTTTCCATAAGCATTTCAGAACTGCAGATAAAATGACTTCCTGTCTCTCAGTTTCCTGTATCCATGGTAACTTGATTTCAGCCAGTCATTGTAGAGGAGCCGATGGGAAGAGTAGTATTTCCTGTAGGAACAGTTGCAGAACTGGTAGGCAAAGTGTGAGAAATTTCAACAGAAGGAAAACATTTAACTGATAAAATGAGCTTCATATTCTGGGTGAGAACAATTTTAATATATTTTAAACTTAGAATAGTAGAAATGTTAATATAAGCTATGTGCAGCTATGAAGGATGAGTTATTAAAGGTTGAAGAATGTAATTTATAGCTTAAAATATAACTCATCTGGCAATTTTGTAACAGAACTTCTACATTCTGTTTAAATAATGTAAGCATTTAATTTTATCATTAACAATCTTCAAATATAGTAAATGTAAATTTAATTTTAACTATAAACGATGGAATAAAATAGATACAGGTAGCCCTTGACTTACAACAGTTTGTTTAGTGGCTGTTCAAATTAAAATGGCACTGAAAACAGTGACTGCAGTGTCCCAGGGTCATGTGATCCTCTTTTGCGACCTTCTGACAATCAAAGTCAATGGGGAAGCCAAATTCACTTAACAACCAAGTTACTAATTTAATAACTGCAGTGATTCAGTTAACAAATGTAGCAAGAAAGGTCGTAAAATGGGGCAAAACACACTTGACAATTGTGTCACTTAGCAACAGAAATTTTGGGCTCAATTGTGGTCGTAAATTGAGGACTATCTATAAAGCACTTCTAAATAATTGTAAAAGTAATACTGATAAAAATAGTGAGCTACAAGGATTTTGAATAAGCATTTTTTTAAACTTTTTTCCTGATAGCGCAGACAAAGGTGACCTGGAGAGTCAAAGCCTGGGATATGTATCAACTTCATCACTTTGAGTCATTTCAACATATTTTTAATTGTCTTCTGCTGCTGATGATCCAAAAGGATATATTTTGTTGTCCATCAGTTTGCCAGCAATGTATAGGCAGACAAGTTGACTGCCGTAATTCAAGTCTTTCTTTTATTCCAAACAATTTTCCACAGAATACTTTATTTCTGTACTTAAGTGGCAACAATATATCACACATAAATCCAAATACATTGATAAACCTCCAGCAGCTTATTGTACTACACTTGGACAATTCTGGCATTTTATGTTTATATCCAAATATATTTGCTGAATTGAAAAAATTATGCTATCTACAGCTGAATAATAATCATATAAAACATTTGTATCCTGGAACATTTGAAGGACTTTCAAATCTTCATTCTTTATATCTTCAGAATAATGAAATTGACTTTGTTTATGAAGGATTATTTGGTAACCTCACTTCAGTTCATTATCTAATGCTGCAAAACAATCGCCTCAGGATCCTTGGTAGCCGCATTTTCTTTGGCATGACTGATCTTCGAATTCTTAACCTAGCAAACAATAAGATTTCACAAATATCAGACAGAGCATTCCAGCACCTTGATAATCTTACAGGCTTGCACCTCGAAGGAAATAATTTAACGTGTGTGCCATCCACTGCGTTTCTAGTACTGAGCAAACTTCAAAAACTTTCATTGTCACGAAACCCTGTTGGGTCAATTCCTCCTTTTGCATTTAAAGGACTTAGCAAGCTTGAATATCTATTTTTAAAAAGTGCTAAAATAAACACTATTAATGCAAATGGATTTTCAGGGCTAGTTAATCTTAAAAAACTAGTTTTGAGTGATAATAATTTAGTAAACATCAATTCAGACACTTTCTCATTGTTGGATCATTTAAAGTTTTTGTATCTTGACAGAAACAAAATAATTGATATTGCAGGTAATACTTTTGAAGGAATAGGATCCGCTTTGAAAATACTTGATCTGTCTTTCAATAATCTTACATTTTTACAGCCTATAGTGCTCAAGCCTTTGGTCTTTTTAACTCACTTACAGGCAAATTACAATCCTTGGGATTGCAGCTGCAAATTACACAGATTGATGAATTGGCTAGCTTCTTCTTCTATCTCTGTGAAACTCCTTTGCCAAAGTCCTTCCAGTCTGCATGGAAGATATATGAATTACGCTAGTTTGCATTTGTTCAAAAATTGTTTCAACAGCACAAGTCCTGAAATTTTCAAGAACAGTAAATCTGCAGGAATCCAGCAGAGCTTTACTACTTCATTAGTGGCACAGAATATGTATCTCACAAGTAATACAGTTAAAGAACAGTTGAACTTTAATGCAAATACAGTTACATCATTGGTAAAAGTATCTTATACATCTGCTTATCAAAATCTCAGTGAAGAAAATTCTAGTAGGAATTCAAAACAGGAACAAATAGCAACACAGAAGATATCTCCGGAAGCTGTTTCTGTATCGTTTAAAACATCACTAATTTGTACACAGCAAGTAGAGAAACTAAAGCAGGCTTTTGACATTTTATTAACCTTTTTCATTTTGGCCTGTGCTATGATCTTCTTTTTGTTCTACAAAATCATTAAACTGAAACAGAAGTACAATGTACAAAAGAACTCTGACAATACAATAGAATACTATGGCTTTTATCAGGCTGGTAGTTACAATGTTACCGTACCTCAGAACCCACTGGGAAGTTCTGAATTGGATCCTGCTGAACTTTCTAAATCAACAGCCCTTGAAAACCAAGCACAGGTTATCTTATTTGAACATTCAGCACTGTAATACATTCATCACACTTTTTCTTTTCATGTGTATAAAAAGCAACACTATGTGACTTTTATAAATGCAAGTTTAACTACTGAGGTTGGGGTGGGAGGTTGAAATGCAGCTAATATTTTTTTAACATTTACATTTTGTTCTAATTTTAATATCTGCATTTTATTGATTTTAACTATGTTTTAGCTATATTTATTCAATTTTAATTGACCTGCCTGTAGCAATTATATATCATTAATGTTATTTTATGTTTGGTATTCTGCATAAATTTGATGTTATATTAAAAAGAACAGGATTTTTTAACTGTTCATTACTATTGATAAATTCCTAGAAATAATTTCCGTTATTTCATTCTACCAGCTATTTTGGACACCATCATGAAGCTCTGCAATATTTGTTGGATAAAACAGCTTTTATTATGAAATTATTGCATGAAAACATTAGCACTGTAGCAAAGCATAAATTTTTAAAGAGATTGCATATCTGTTTTAATTCATAGGTAATAATTACATTATCTAGAATAATTAAAGAGAGCATTTACAAAAAAAATTATTTACTCTGGTTTCAATCCCCATTTCCCTATGATAGAAATTCCAATGGAAGCACTTTGTATATTGGAGGCTTAAAAAAAAACAAAAAAAACAATAGCGCATAGCACTTCTGCTAGAGAAGCAGATTTTACCAACTTATTCTGATATAGGGGGAGGGGTTTGCCCTTTGAAAAAACACTCTGGTGGTGGAGGCCAAATTGTATAGGGCAGAGGTCCCCAACCTTTTGGGCACTAGGGACCAGTTCCATGGAGAAAGGTTTTTCCATGGACCAGAGTGTGCGTGGTTTTGTTTGCTGCCTGCATCTCGCAGATGGGGCTTTGCTTGTTTGTGCGGATTGGTTGCTAGCATTCCGCGGCCCAGTACTGGTCCACGGACCGGGGGTTATGGACCCCTGGTATAGGGTATGTGGGCTTCTTGGTGCTCTTTGAGCTTGGTTGTTTTCTTGCAGACTTTTTATTACTCAACATCAGAGTTAGAAGGGAGTGGGATTTGTTATCTGTTTATATACAGGTGACTTGCCCTGTCAGTGTGGTGTGGTAGGAGTGTAATGTATGGCATCAGAACTGCAGAAAGCAGGAGGAATAAGAGAAAAGAGGTTTAGTTTGAATTTCAGTCTGTTTCAAAGCACATGCTTCTTTGACTCAAAGAAGGGGGAAAAATCTAGATGTGGTACATGGGGTAATTATAATGTTCTAGGAACTCTACTAACATCTTTTTTGAAAATAAAAAAATGTATAATAATGTGTATACATCTACTAATTTATGCATAATATATACAGTCTGGACAATGTATATGAACCATATTGTATTTCCTCTGCTTTTGATGTCCTATTTTGTGGGAAATATTACTAGTAAATACTGGGGTGAGAGATTTTAAAAGGCCACAGATTTTATTAATGTTATTAATTACAATTCATAGTTTGGTTTTCATAAACCCAGGATCTTTCTAACTAAGCATTCTAGTTGTTGGCTGGAAATGTGTTGCCAACTTGTGAATCCATTCTGATATTAGTTATATAACAGATGAGTTACATTTAACTTTGAAGCTGCCCGCCTCACTAGCTCTTTTGGAGAGCACTAATATGTCCAAGGAATTTTCCCTTAGGCCACTAGGTTTCATTTTTTGTCCTTTTAAAAGATGTTTAATTTAGAAAACAAAAGAACTAGCTTTCATGGTGCAAAGCAAGCATCTTTATACACTAGAGTGACTTGGCTCTTTATAGTCCTAGTTATAAATTTTTAGAAAATAAAAATGATTCATATTGCATGTTAATGATTTAAAAGTGTGCTCCTATTCCAAGAACAAAAAATTGGTAAATTGGAAAGGTAAAGAACATTCAGGAGTCATAGAGAGATGGCGAATAACTTCCTAATTCTGGTAAATGTCTGTTGCTGTGTTTATACACTGATTTGAATTTTAATATTCCTAAGCATTGTCAGGTTCTGCTGTCAAAATGGAATATATATTTGAGACTTGGGAAGTCCTTAGCTTTATGGGTTGCATAGGGAAGAATTGAATAGGGAGTCACATTCACTGGTTAAACAAAAAAACATGTTATTAAACATACGTACACCAATGTGACTCAATTGTCAAGATAGATTGTACTACACTTGCATAACAAGGAAATAATTGCATACTTAGATTGTAGTCTAACTAGCATGTGTTCTCTCTCTCTCTCTCTCTCTCTCTCTCTCTCTCTCTCTCTCTCTCTCTCTCTCTCTCTCTCTCTCTCTCTCTCTGTCTGTCTCTCTGATTTGCTACTGTCTTCCATGTAGAAACTATATAACAGTAGTTGTTACACAATATTTTGAAATCAGAATATTCTTAGTTTTGGGATAAACGTGAGTGATCAGCTAAGCATTAAAGAACAAAAACCTCAAAAGATATAGTAAAAGTAATGCTAAACTTGTTTTCTATTTAACTAAATGATTTAAATAATTTCCATGTCTTTTCTAGTATTGTCCAAGATAAATTTTGTGGTATCATAAATATTTCAGTTGAAGGGTTGCATGATGTTATGACTGAAGATATAGAAACAAGAACATTCAAAGAGTAAGTAGAATATTACTTTGCATATGCATACTGCAATGAAGCTACCAGAATAAGTAACTCATTTTAGCCTAGTTTGTCACTAGAGGGAGTAGATGTATTTTGATATTCTTCTTATATGGAAATAGTAAATGTGATTATATATTATTCTTAGATTGGCTAATAAAGATAGATAATATTTTAAATGCATTTTCATTTTTTTATTTCAAGTTTTAATTATTGTTCATTTTGCAAAATACTCTTTATGCATACTTCTGTATAAGTCTTTAGCTTTGAGCAACATACAGTTATACAATTCCTTAAAATCCTTCTTAGGATGATTGGAAGTCTAATATATTTGCATTTTGGTTTTTTTTAGTTGCATGTTGATGTCTAGTTTTGAAGAACCAAAAGTGATAGAAGAAGAAGAGCCACCTACAGAACAGGACAAAAGAAAAAAGATGGTACAGTCAAATTTAATTATATTAATTAATCTTAATTAAGCTTCAGCAGTTTGTAAGTTATGTTTTTCCTCCCGTCAGTTGTATAATTATTATCAGAGAAACAGTTGATGAAATATTGAACCCCACAGACATGGAATGTTTGAGATAGGGGGAGATATTAAAATAGACAAAATAATAATTGCATATTAAAAATCAACAAGGAAAATAATAAGAGAAAAATAATTTGTGGTTCAAAATTCAAATTTGTACTTTTAAGTTGATTTTTACTCCTGGTAAATGTCTTCTGCAGTTTTTTTGGCAGCATTTTTTAGAAGTGGCTTGCCATTGTCCTGAGAGCTGAAAGAAGTGACTAACCCAAGATCACTCAGTTGGTCTTATGGCTAATATGAGACTAGAGTTTCTAGTCTGTCTTTTAATCACTACACTAAACTGACTCTTAATCGGTAGTTGTGTTGTGATAAAAGAGTTATATGAAAATAAAAATAGGAAAATTCTATCCATCCCCAACCAGAAGCATATCTCCAGAAGCTCAGGTTTCACTCTGGAAAACAACAGACTCTCATTGCACAGTATAACTTTAATCTAAAACTCTATTCAGGTACTATGAAAGGTAAATTCTAAAATGTTGGCAGCATTTTCACATAAGATTTTAACCGATTATATAATAGAAACAATTAAAATATCAGTTCAATTTCTTTAAACTCTATAGGATGTTGTACTACTTTTTATAGCTTTACTACTTAGCAGTAAAGTTGTTAGAATATAAAATGGTGTTTCATTAATTTAAATAATCTGTATAGAGTTTTGCAGGGTTAAAAAAAATATTTACAGTATTTAACAAGTATATATTTAAAGTTTCAGAAGGGGGCAGCATCTGGCTCAAGCTAAGCAAGGTTGGACTTTGTTTTTGAGTGGGAAAACCTGACTATAAGCTAAACTGGGAAGCAGAATAATATGTTGTAAAAGATATTTTATTGTAAATTCAAGGAAAAATACGCTGATATGCACATTAGCTTTCTAAGCAAAAATATTATTACTTATCATAGATATGAGCAATGTTTCTTCATATTGGTCTAGAAGTACTTCTCTGGAAGTACTTGTCTTAAGTATTTTACATCAGTAGATCAATAATATGCAGTTTCTGGTTCATCTCATTTTGAAAAATCAAATGAGAAACAACTTCACACTATCATTTCATCTGAGAATGCTAGGCTATTTATTACTTTTGGTACTAATATAAAGAGAGGTGCAAAATATTCCAAGGTTGAAGCTTCTGACCACAGAATGGCTGACTTCCAACAGCAAAACACTTTCAGTGAGGTCAAAATGGAACAGTTTTGGATCAGAATATTTTAGTCTTAAAATATTTTGTACATACCTATAGATATATGCCCGAGCATTCCAAATTCCCAAGGAATGGAATGGAATGGAATATCTTTATTGTCATTGTATAGCTCACAATGAAATTAAGTGCTGTCCACAGTGCACATTACACACAAGCAAAAACCATAAATAAGAACATACATTATATACATACGTCCTTCACATTCTATTCACCATTGTGCTGCCCCTAATATTGCACTTCAATGTTGTACTATACTGTGCTATTTAATATGGTTACAGTTCTAGAATAAAAACTATTTTTCAGCCTATTTGTCTTTGTTTTTATTATCCTGTACTGTCTGCCAGATGGTAATGGTTCAAAAAAAGAATGTCCGGGATGAGATGAGTCTTTAAGAATATTTTGAGCTTTCTTAAGAAAACAGGAACTGTACAGTTCGTCTGGGGGGGGGGAGGGGAGAAGGCAGCCAATAATTCTCTGGGCAATGGTAATGACCCTCTGGAGCACTTTCCTATCTGCTACTGTGCAGCAAGCAAACCACACACAAATGCAATAGGTTAAAATTACTGTAAGCTCTTCTCTTCACCCATAAACTCTTACTTTAGCAGAAAAGTATATATAGATGAATAATCCTCTTATCAGTTGGAATCCATTGATTTAAAGCTAAGCAATTTGGTGATTTCCAAATGTTTTGGACTATTTCTGCCATGTCCCAGACTTACAAGTCTTAGTCATTGTCAAGGTATTTGAGAAATGTAATCTGAAACACCTGTTGAACACCATTTTACCTTAATTCTGAGGTACCCTGTTGCTTTCTACTTCTGTCTCCATGACAGAAAATCTCTCCCATAAAGAAGGGTTGTTTTTTTTCCTAATTATTCAAAATGCTACTTAAAGAATTCTTCATAGGACCTTATACAAATCTGTAATAATACAATATTGCCTCCAGGCTTACAATCTAAAACTCATTAGATAGCAAAACATGTGTGATGGTAAAAGGAAGATAAAAGCAAGTTCAGCACAGATACTGAGAATTCGATAATAACCAGCTGGGCTGGAAGCAGTTCAATAGATTGATGAAGTGGTGGTTGCTGGATGCCAGTTGAGAGAGGGCCAAGATATTTCTTGCAGAGACAGTGGATTACTTTCTTCTCAGTTTACAAATTGTGTAAACTCATGTATCCAATGTACTTCTTTCTTTGCATAATTAAAAATGAGTGCTTTTAGCTAAATCAGATCTTTAATTTGGGACTTTTTATATCTACCAATATTTTTTAAAAACATCCATATTATTAGCGTCTATTCCACATGCTTTTAAAATATTCTGTAAAAGTGATGGCAATCTAGAAATATTTTAGAGAAACTGATAATTACAAAATTGCTGACAGTGAATAAATTAATCTGACAGAAAAAGTGGCTTCTTATTGTTGCCTAAGGAGATTTGATGCTATTAATAATTTGACAGTTAAACTGTACATAATGTGTTATCCCTTTATATGTCTTTGTTCAAATAACAATACTATGGCAGGCATACAGCACTGAATTGTTAAAGTAATTTGAGGGAGAAAAGTGGAGAATTTAGCAAGTTGTACAGTAATTCTTCAATGCTCTTCAAGAATCATATTATCACAGAGTTCACTCTTACACCGTATTAGCTATAAATGGAAGACATTAACAATGAGATGAACATAATTCAGGTTTTTTCACCCATAAAGATTCATGGAAGAAAAGTTCAAAGACTGCTTACTATTTCAATATGCCAATACTAATTTGAGAATATGAGAGTATAAATCAATATATCTGAAAGCACTGAGTTAAGTGGTAATGTAGAGTAAGTAAAAAGCGTGAAATTAAAAACAGTATTTGAATAGGAAATTCCCACATACGAAATTAATGTCTTTGCAAAGAAGACTTTTCTTTCACTATTTTAAGCTCAGGAATTGGATATATAATAATATACAGGTAGCTCTTGACTTAATGACCAGTTATTAGCAGTTAGCCAAAGTTACAACGGATTTCTCTGGACGTATGTATGATCAGATTCTGAAATTCCAATGACTGGGCCCTCTTGGCTATATATTGGGAGCTTAGCAACTGGCCCACATTTATGGCTGTTTGCAGTGTCCTCCAGTCATTTGACCACATTTACAACATTTTGCCAAAACCCAGCATTTACTTACAGTTCTCAACAAAACTGGCCAATAGCAAACCATTGGTTCCCTTAACAGTCACACATTCACTTAATGACTGCCACAAAAAAAGTTGTAAAATCAGATTAGTCACATGAGTGATCTGTTTTATGACCATCACAACTTACAACTGTAATGGGCAGGCTACGTTGAGGACTACCTGTACTTAGCCACTTTATAGAGATTCTGTTTGTAGGTATAAATTACTGCTTTAGTTTTTTTATGTCATCCTGAGCTGTATATAATTTTATTTTTTGTAAAATATATATTTTTGTTAAAGATGCAACTTTAAAACTCAACGTTAGCGCTTACAATATTATTATCAGGAACTCCGTCTGTTTTTAATTTTCAATTTCAATTCTTTGTTAATGCTGCAAATGTCACCATAAATTTCTCAGAAAATTTTTTTGCAGTAGACTATGGGGGTGAGGTATTGCCTGGTTTTGTTTTTTTTGCTTTGGGTTAAAGATAATTTTCTGATAATTGTGGAGCAGTACGTTTTTACTCATTTCTCATAGAAAATTGGACACATAGCTGAGATCTTGATGTTATTAGCAAATAAGTTGCTTACTTATATGTTATCAAAAAAGAGGAATTATAGAGAGGGGGCACTCTTTTGCTGACAAATTATATTTACGAAGATCCAAATTTAGAAGTAAAGTAAGTTAAATTGACATTCATCATATCACTATAGGGAAGGATGATAACCTGCATACAAGAATTTTCAGTTTGCTGTCTAGGTATACTTGTTCATGGGCTAAATAAAAAGATCATTTTCGTCTCTTCCAATTTTTGTTCTTTTTAAAACAGAGTAAGAATGGATAACTCTTTGAGGACTGCTGCCTCCAAGGGCACAAGACTCCTATAACCAATTTTTTTAATAGCATTACTAAGAAGGAATTTCCTATAAAATATATAGTATCATAAAGCTTAAAGATAATGTTATAAATATTTTTTGTATATGAGTAAAAACATCGCAAATGTTTATTGGTCTGTTAAACTGTTAACATCTGCCTTGAATAACTAATGACAAAAAATACAGAAATGAAGTTCACAGTACGTAATTATGTTACACAATAGGCACTGAAGCTAAGCGTATTCATTTCTATTGATGAAGTAGCAGAAATTTCCTTTTCAAGGATTCAATTTGTAAAGTATGTTTTCAGTGTAAGCAGTACAGGAAACAAAAGCCCTTTTCACTGCCATTAAGATTATAAGACTGATCATTACAGGTTTGCCTGTTTTGTTAAATTATATATTTTTCTTATCTTTTTCCTGCAGCTTGCACTAAAGGATCCAGTACACTCTGTGTCACTGCAGCAATTTGTATATGAGAAACTAAAAGCACAGCAGGAATTGCTGGGAGAACAAAGCTTTCAAGCTCTTATGGAAACTGTAGATACAGAAATAGTTGCTCAACTACAAGACTTCTTACAAGGATTCTGAATAAGTGGAGACAAAGCTTGTATCTTCAACATAGAGGCAAACTGAACAGCTTTTCATCTCATTACAAAATCGCTTAAATAGGGAGTTTGAAACTAAGAGATGGCTCAGCTTTTTTTAATTAAAACACAATAGAGATAATATATACTATTTCTGATAGTTTTACTGTCTTTTTCCTACATACTGTAACCTATAATTGAAAAACTTGCAAAAAAAGATTCTCTAAACCTAGATTTTTAATTTACCATTGGCGGAATGATGATGACTTTGAACTCAGAATCATGAATTCTTCTCAATAATAATAATAATAATATCTACACATATTTTTTCTGTAAGGATATTAGCTTACTTAGGTTGCCTTATACTATTGCTAACTATTAAAACTGCTATAACATGTAAGATTTTAAATTAAATTTTGTAGTAGGAAAGGATGTCAAGCAGTCAAACAGACATATGCTCCACAAGCAATTCAGCTGTATAAATAGTGGAAAGTATTACTGTGATTTCCTCTATGGGGAGTTGAATACTAGTCTTTTGCATGAAAAGAAGTAATGAAGTCATTCTGTTGTTTTAAAATTATTTTGTTGAACCATTTACAAGAAATTAATTTGGTTTGATTTGATTTTAGATCCAAGAACTGTTTTGATCAATGCTTTTTTCCTTTGATAATCCAATTGATCTCTGATCTCTTTGCAAGATGAATTTACAATATGATTTGAATAATTTTTTATTGTATAAAGATGTTCTCTTCAAAGGGTTAAGAATAGTGAACCCTGTACTATTTTTATGTCTTAACTGAATTATTCTAGGATAATGCTAAAGGTAAAATATTAAAAATTTCAGAAGAGAACTTAAAGATTGCAGGTCAGGGAGGTGGGTTGAAAAAGATTTTGATTTGAAATATTATAAAAAAATAAAATAAAAATGAATAAAATATGCAACTTCTCTTTCTCTATGTTCCCTGGCCCATTTCACATTTTTCTCTCACGTTTCCTATTTTAAGGAGAGGCACTTTTTTTATTTTTAGGCAAGGCTTCTTATGCCTGTCTAACTTTCGTTGTAAGGATTTTTTAAAGTACATTTGACAAAATACTAATAAGATTGTATAATACAATATGACAACTATAAGTAATTGAAGATTACTTATTGAAGAAGTGAAGATCTGTAAACTGCAGGTTATTAAGTATACTAAATTCTAATGTTTTCAAATTATAAAACTAAACATTTTAATTAATTTTTCCAGAAAGAAATATCTTTTGATTCATTTTGTGTTCTTTTCTAAACATAAAGGGCATATCGGTAATTGAGAATCAGTGCTTCATTTAATACACTTGTTGCAGATATAAAGAATGGCAGTGCAATGCATATTTAAATAGTAAAATTGTCATTCAGTATTCTGTATTACAAATCCCATCACCTTGGATATGTCTGTAATGTGAAAATATTGCAGGATTAAGACCATAATGATGTATTCCAAATCAATAAAATCCAAAATATTGCTAATATTTTGCATCAGACCTTAATATTATGGCTTCAGATGGTACCAATAATCTTTGTAGCTTCTGTATCGACCTAAATATTACTCAATACATGGACTGGATATTTTTTTTAAAAAAGATGTCTGAGTTTATCATGGCATTATCATTCTTTCTTCTAAAGCATATAAACGTGATTCATTTTCTAAGTGGTGATTGGGTTCTCTTTTGTGTTAACTGAACGGCCTCCCTTTTTTATATTCAGATATTGCATATATTGCTAATGTTCAAAGCAGTGCCATCCAGTCTCATCCCAGCTTTGATGCTGTGCTAAAAATTGACTGGGTTGTATTATCCAATACACAAGCAGGGAACTATAGATGATATTTATATGTTTCTGACATGTAGTCACCTCCCCTTGTTGCTATCTTGAAGTTGAGCCCATGAAGAGGATTTGTTTTAGTGGTGGTCAGTATAGTTACACAACCAATCTCCTTTTTCTTTCTTTTAACTAGAGATGTTCACTGCATGATTTTCAGAAGCTGAAGAACATATTTCAATTATGCATATTGAAAATGCAAATATTTTCAATTAAAAAAAGGCTAAAATAATTCTACTTTACAGAAATACAACTCTAATTTGTGACTGCATAGATGACCACTTCAGAAAACTGATTCTGACCCTTTCTAAATGCTAAAGGGAGAAAAGCCAATGTAGTGATGATATATCAGTGTTATCTGAAATGTCTGTACTGAATAAGTTACTTAGCACAATCACAGCTTCTAATGAAAAACTTTTCTATCTAAAAAAACCATTTTGAAACATAATTTAAGAGAACTATTTGAAGATTGCTACTGATGTACCTGAACATCTCTGATCCTGAAAATTGCTTCAGTGAGAAACTACTATTGAATGTAGGATAGAAACAGGTGCATTCTTTGATCTAGAGAGAGTTCAATATTTTGGGTACATTTGAAATTTTGTGGCTATAACAGGTGCTCTTAAAAATGGGTACAATGGAGAGAAAGTGGCTGCCATTGGCCTGAAAGCTAACTGGTGAAGTAATTTACTGAAACTCTTATTCCATGCCATATCTACTTTATAGTTAATGTTCTTCATTAAATTAGAGAAATTCATATGATTAGATGATAAATACCACACATTGAAAGCACAGACTGTGTGTGTTCAAATCAATTCTTGACCAAATAGGTCTTGCTAAATTCACTAGGTGGGTTGAAAACAATACTTTTAGTTACTATCTTTTCTAATAGAAGTTTATTATTTTTGCTAAACTCCAGGCACTCGTCCTGCAATTAATGCATTCAGCATTAATTTGTGTGTATATGAATTTTTATATTTTGTATTTGCATTTTATTGCTTTCTAGCCATCTTGAATGCTCCAATTGAGTAGAAAGAGAATAATGAATCAAGTCACCACAAATAATGCTTTTTAAGTGAATAATAAATAAATATATTAAATGAAAAAATGAGAAAAATATCAAAGTCTGAATAGGGGCAAACCTTTATGAGGAGAAAAGGAACTCAAATCTATTTTACACTTATTCCGTTTTGTTTGTTTTGTTCATTTTTTGTTTGTTATTTTACACTTATTCCTTTTTGTTTTTTGTTTGAATTCAGCTTTGAATTCCATATAACAGAAAGATGCTATTCTGTAAGCCTTATTTACTTATTTCAACAAACACTGATTCTATACAATATAGAGTGTTTCAGACAAGAACCAGAGTGTGATCTGGGCAGAAGTGAAAAGGGAGAAAAGCATGGGTGGATATCAATAACACAGTGATGGCTGTAGGAAAGTATGGAAGCAAACTATTAGGGAAATCAGAATGGACTGCTGAGATATGCCTTGCTAGAACCTTTCCATTAATGTTGAGACCATCATAATAAGTCTGGTTTCTTAAGAAGAAGAAGTTTTGGATTACTGTCTCTAGTTGAGAAAGCAGTGTGTTATCCAATACAGAGCACTTTCAAGGAAGTGATTTATCTCTAGACCAATTTTATTCTAAATTCAGACCCAATCAAAAAGCAGAAATGGCATTGATCATTCCAGTAGATGGTGTCTCTCAGACCTGGATGCAGGGAGTGCATCCTTCATGTTTCTTGGAGACCTCTCCATGGTTTTGAACACCCATCAATCATCATATCCTCATGGAACAAACAAAGGGCTTTGGGATCAGGGCACCATGTTTCAAAAAATTAAGTCTTAACCTTTTCTAAATATTTTTAAAGCTTAGTGTGCTGTGCAATTCTAGCTTTTTGTTTAAAATAATACAACATTATGTACTGTAGCTGGAAGTCACTTCACACATTAAATTCAATCTTCTGTGCTATGCAGTAATATAAAACAAATTATTCCATGGAGATGACTGTCTAGCCTCCACTAGAATATAACTAAAAAATAAGAACCTATAACATACTTGGATAATTAATTGCATTGTCAAACTCTTCTAACTGTTAGGAAACTTTCTAGCATTCAGGGAAAATTTGTCTTCCTATAATTTAAAGCCATTAGAGCATATAAGAGAACAAATTTATGTGACATCCTTTCAGATATTTTGAGAGTGCTCTCATATCCTTATTCAATCTTTTCTTCTCAATTTCTCATCGTAGGACTTAGTTTCTTTCTTAAAGTGTAGAACCTAGAATGGGAACAGTATGCAATTGGGGTGGATCGCTAGAGAATAAAGTGGAAAGCCCCTTTCAATGCTATGTTTGTATGTTTCTACCTCTGAGGATTGCTTTCTTCTGTCCACATTCTGAGACCTTTTCTGTATCAATCACTGTAATTCCTATAGTAAAGGATGGAGGAAAATTCCACTCCAAAAGATTCAAACATTAACTTAAACCTAATCAACTAATCAGACTTAAACCTATCATACTAGATAATGGGCAGAGACTATCTGGAAAATCAAACTCTGAACAGCCAATCAGTAGCAAGAAAATTCAACACTTGAGTAGGCTTTATAAAATGGATGGGGAAACTCTTATTGGCCTTTGTCTCTTTGCCTTTGTCTCTTTGCAGAGAAGCTTCAATCAGATACAACCCACCAACTCCACTACCAACCTGCAAAAGGATTGGAGAATCTGAGAAAATAGCCACAAAAATATGTACTGATACTAATTATATTATAGATCTGTAGATTGTGATCTTTTTTTTCTACCTATAATGTTGTCCAGAAGAGTAGCCTCTGAATAAAGTTGCAGGATTCATTATCTTTTCCTCCTGTTATTTTTAATTCCCATTTATTCCTGTAATCTTAATCTCCTGCTTAAGGGTGCTAGAGTAGCCAACTCACTATATGTCTTTGTAGAAGCACACACTCCATTATGCGTGTCTTAATTACTATTATGATTGCTGAGTGTTTCTAAAATATATTATTTTTTAATATTCTTTGGCAGCAATACTTCCTCAAAATGTCAGGATGAAAAAAGATATTGTAGATCAGGGGTGTCAAACTGCCGGCCCATGGCCGGATGCATCATGGCGAAACCGCACCCACCGCATTGCTGGCAATGGAAAAAAAGTTACGATACATCACAACACGTCACATGACGTTGAGAGTTTGACATCCCTGTTGTAGATTATCTACAAGAGGCTGAAAGAAGTAGGTGCTGATGTGATTCTGAGCAAATTATTGTTATATAGCTTCTCAAGGTCTTATTTATTATTACTTTTAAATATATATAACTGCTTTTATAAAACTATATAGTGGTCTTAAGCTGCTATTGAACAATTAAAGACGTGTGAGACTATGATGTACAACAAAAGTAATCACTAACGGTTAGTTTCTATATTCCAAAAATATAGAAAGCCTGCGCTTCAAGCTAATTAGGGAATGTGATTTATGACTGTTAATTGGAGGAGGGAATTGTGCTTTGCTACTTTGTGCCCAGAGGAGGGGAATTCAGTTTTTGGCTTTAACTATGTAGTGCTGATACTTTGTTTCTTGAATAAAAGATTCTTTAAGGTAAACAATGCCTCAAAGTTCTTTTGAAGGGTTTCATCTGTCACAACCATGACACATTGTTGATTTCAGAAAAGGCAGGAACAGCCACACTCTTCTGTGTATTAATGATTCACCTGTGGAGATGGTTACAAGCAGCAAATTCCTGGGTGTGCAGTTAACAAGTAGGCTGGCTTGGTAAAACAGGCACAGCAGCGCCTGCAATTTCTGCGTCACATGAGAAAAGTACATCTTCCTTCCCCTGTCCTTACTACTTTCTACACAGGGACAATCGAGAGCATCCTGTCATATGGCATTACTGTCTGGTTTGGAAGGATCACTGCTTTGGACAGAAAGGCAGTGCAGAGAGTGGTGAGGATGGCAGAAAAGATTATTGGCAGTTCCCTCCCTTCCATCCAGGACATAGCATAAAAGTGGTGCTTGAGCAGGGTCCGCAAGATTGTCTGGGACACTGCACATCCTCTTCACAACCTTCTAGGAGGAGGCTTCATTGTATCTAAAGCAGAACATCCAGATTCAGTCATAGTTTCATTCCATACAGTGTTAACCTTGTGAACTCTAAAGCTTCCTCTTTCCATTATGCATTCAAGATGGTCAGTGATTAATATTTATATGTTATTTATAAGTAAGGGTATAGGTTTATACATATGTTGTATATAGCATGTTTACAGATTCATTAAATCTGGAATTTAGTAGCAGCTTTTTCAACTAATGAATTTTATGAAAAGGCATACGTTTCTGTGAACTTCACTAAGATTCATGAAAGTGTATGCTTTTTAATAAAATGTGTTACTTAAAAAAGATCCTACCAGAGTCCTGACTTTTGCCATCAAAGATTAATACAGTTCTCCTCCTTAAAAAAAACATAATTTGATGGAAAGCAGAATAGATGTCTACTAAGCAGTGTTCATAACCACAAAGCAAGAAATAAGTTCAGCTGTTGATTAGGTATCATAGTCAACAAAAGTTTATTGGGATAGAATTATGTAGTGGTTGTTTCAGGATAATGAGGCATGTTTCTCTTTCCACTCAA